AATTACATTAATATTTTTTTTCAAGTAACAATTTATTTCAATGCACACAATTTTAGTGGAATATGCACCTATTACCTTCTCCCAAAACTTTTTTACATAAAGGGAGATTTTATATATATAATGACATCACTTTTAAAAAAATTTTTAATTTAGGGTATTATTTTTTATTGAACTAATTAAGATTATTATCTTTAAAAAATTTGTAAGTAAAGATATTACTTTTTCAATTTTACTATTTAAGGATTAATTAGATGTTAATGTTGACTTGGTAAACAGATTCCATCTATGGGACCCACTAAACTGTTGATGTGTCAAAAAATGGGCAGGTAACCGCTCTCGCTTCGAGCTGATTTGGACAACAAGCATAAGTGTCAACAGTGAAAAAGGTGGTGTCGGCACCCAACCCGTGTCGAAGGCTCCTTTTCCTTTTATTCATTTTAACAAAAAATATAAAATTAAAGAAAAATCATAAACATGGTAATAAATATATAGATTAGTTAAACACAATAAGGTACATTGTATAGATTTATTAAAATTAATTTATTATTTGGATATATTATATAAAAATATTTTAAATAAAAAATATATTCAATGTATTATACTAAATTTTTAACAGTTCTATTAATAAAAATAAAAATTTAAAAAATTCATCATGTCTTGTCTATGTTTCAAAATTTTGATTTTCTTGCGTAAAATATTCTGTTGTCTATGAAGAAAATTGTCCATGTAAAGAGTTAGATGATTCACTTTGAAAATTATAATTATTCTTTTTTATCTCTTTTGTTTAGGCTTTTCAAAATCCTTGCATGACAAAAAATACAAAATTACTTGAATATGATATTACAGATTTACATGTTTTTAAATATTGTAATAATATCAATAAAAAAAACTCACCTTTTTCCCATTATTTTTGCACTTTAATCCAACATTAACCACATATGGCATGTCCTCTCACCACAAAGACAACAGTAAACAAAATTCCTACATGCACCTATAAATTACTAAATATAATAACCTTTTTAAAAATTAGGCCTATCACTTTGAGATTTTGTGTTAATTTGGGAAAAAAATGAATTATAATGCATAACCAAATATTCTGGAAAGAGATAGAAATTTAATCTGTGACTAACATTATAAACTATGGATAAAAATTATGTCTCCAATAATGGACAAAAATTGCTTTTCAAAAAAAAAAATAATGGACAAAAACTCTTATTAAAAATTGTGATTCAAGTTTATGATAAGGTGTAATAACAGACAAAAAAATAAAAGGATCTTGAGATGAATTACAAAGGTTAAATACCTATTGTACTCAAACTAATAATAATATTATTGTTATTTACAAAAAATAATAAAAATAAAATAAATAATTTTACCTTGACATTATGAAAATAACAAACAAAAAGATCTCCAATGACAAGTTATTCTTTAAAGTTGTATAATTTTCTTAATCCACTATTAGAAAACGCAGTATATTCGACAGTTAATACTGTCGATAATAACAATTATTCTGTCGGTTATACTATAACCGATAGACATAAGCGACAGTAATTTCTGTCAAAAAAATGAGAGTCGAAAATTCATATAATTGACAGAAATTATATCTATCGGTTATGATATATAACCGACAGGCATGACTGTCGATTACATGTATAATCGACAGTAGAATTACTGTCGACTATGTTTGATAAAATAAGCTAAACATATTCGACAGCCATTTGACTGTCGAATATAGGTATATTCGTCAGTAATATAATGTCGATTATATTTATATTCGGTAGTTAACTGGCTATCGATTATGTCTCTCAAAAAAAGCTAACATTTTCGATAGCCAAATTGGCTATCGAAAATATCTGGGTCACAGAAAAAAAAAATATTCTGAAATTTAGCATGATTATTCAACGAAAAATCATTACAAATTAACATAACCGAATTCCATGCTTAAAACCATATCCCACAACATTTGTACCATTTAAATAATAAATTTAAGAGGAATAAAAAGTAAAATATTGTCCAAATTAATAAT